AAAAGGTACGTATAATATTTGATATACTTGCACCAAATCGATGAGGGTAAATGTCTGTTGATGTCTTATTGAAGTGAAATAAACATTATTAAACAAAACAAAACTGAAGACATTAACAAACTAGCTCGTTTTATCTATTATGCATACAAAATGAGAGAAAAGTTAGAAAAATCGATATCGGGGCCCGTTCCACAAAGCTATTGCAGCGCTACGACTGTCGTACCTCCCATAATGTAACATAGACTTACGACAGTCGTAGCGCTACGATAGCTTTGTGAAACTGGGCCCGGAATGCGTCCGGACCGGAAACCTTTCGGTCATATTCCCTTAGATTTCTTTGGAACATTAAAAAGTTTGTAGTGGGCACGTATCCGGAAGGTTCCCGGAAAACGGAAATCTGACTTTTCATCCTGTGATATTCTTATACATGTACATCAGCCGCCATGTAATGTAATGATTCCTGTGGGTTATAGGCTTTGAATAAAAGCAAATAAATGACTGATAGAAATATTTTGTACCCTCTCAGCCGTCACCACGACGACAAGCACCACACCGTTACCGACCACAACGACGCCCGAGCCGAGAAAAGGTTGGTCACATTATTTAGAGCACGATAAGCTACCACGTGACATACTGAAAATAGAACGTACTATGAAAGTACCTACTACTGATTTTGTCTGACCGCAAGGTGTCGCTTGCGTCAATCGTTCTGCATACCATTTCAAATTTATCAATATGAACTCTCAGGTGTCATAAGTTTCAAAGTTAATATTGTCAAAAGGGTTTCAAAAGCATAGGTGTACCCTAACGAAAATACAATTAACATCAGGCATACGTACAGGTACTGAGACGACGAATGTGTCAACTATACGTTAAGACGTACACCTATGGGTCTGTGAAGGTCCGTGTTGGAATTGATCTTCAACAATTCATGCTTCTCAGATAAGGCGTCTAGCGGGATGGGGCGGTCAGGCTTCCTTATTTACAAACCACTGTCATATGGCTTGTTGGTTGGCTGGCTGGCTGGTTGGTTGGTTGGTTGGTTGGTTGGTTGGTTGGTTTGATGTTTAACGACACACTCAGTAATATTCCTGCTGTATGGCGGCGGTCTGTAAATAATCGATTCAACAAAGTCAGCGAGCCTGACCACCCGATCCCGTTAGTCGCCTCTTATAACAAGCATGGGTTGCTGAAGACCAATTCTAACCCGGATCTTCACGGGTATCCTATAGCTGGACTATTGCTGAGTGCGGCGTTAACAATAAAACTGTCCGGAATCCTAATGGTCAGAACCAGGCAGGGTAACAAGCACCATCTTGTTTGTGGTGTGTCCTCACCTGGGATCGAACCACTGACCTCCCGTTCTAGTGGCGGACGCTCTTCCCAGAAGACCACGAAAGAAGTCCTGGATTTGAAAATGACACAAGATTCGTAACTATGGGGCGTATGGTAAAATGTCGTATCGGATAATGAGGCTTAGTGACTTGGGCTATTATGCATGGTAAGATCACTACCTGGGGCTGATTCTTGAACGCTTGCTTTTGATATAGAGAAAAAGTATTTTAAACGAACGTTACCTTGGGGTTTGATTTTGCAGAATGTTCTTAAGATTATGAAAATGGTTTTGTCGGTTTCATTTTGCAGAGATTTTACTGGTCTGATTCCGTGTCTTCGTACCCAATGCTCGTCACGCCGAGGACCCGGGTTCGAATCCCCACATGGGTACAACGTGTGAAGCCCATTTCTGGTGTCCCCCGCCGTGATGTTGCTGGAATATTGCTATATGCGGCGTAAAACCAAAACTCAGTCAGTCCCGGATAACTCTACTAATTGTTGCACTCAGAGATGTGTTTGGTCCTGAGTAGATTAGACACAGTTGATTTAGATGTTACATTGCTGACTCTTCCGTAAACAACACTCACTCACTCGGTCCTCCTAATGACGTGATAAACAGTTGTTTTGATGTTTTCCCGGGGGTAGCCTTGTGGTTAAAGCGTTCGCCCGTCTCACCGAAGACCAGGATTCGATTCCCCACATGGATACAATGTGTGAAGCCCATTCCTGGTGTCCCCCGCTGTGATATTGCTGGAATATTGCTAAAACCCACGTAAAACTAAACTCACTCACTCACTTGATGTTTTTTTTCCAGTGTGCGGACCTCACCCCGCTGACATCCTCTTCCTGCTGGACAGCTCCGACAGCGAAGGTGCCGACAACTTCGCCAAGGAGACCGGCTTCGTCAGAAACTTCGCCAACCATTTCTACATAGACCCCCAGCACAATCAGATCAGCGCTCTGACCTTTTCCGATAACGTCCACAACTCGTTCTGGTTTAATACCTACAAAAACCGCCACGACGTCACACAGGCCATCAGCAATATCAAATACGTTGGAGCGGGCACCAACACTGCTGATGCCTTCAAATTCGCCAGAAACCAAAGTTTTTCTAAAACCCATGGATCACGGGCCAATTCTACAAAGATCGCCATCGTCATCACTGATGGTCGGTCAAAGGATGAAACAGCTACTCTGAAAGAAGCGACAGGTTTGAAGAACAGTGGAGTCGTAGTCATCTCCATCGGGGTCGGCTTCGGACAGGATGACCATGAGCTGAAGTCCATGGCCAGTAAGGCGAACTATGTGTTCAGTGTGTCGAACTTCGATGCCTTGAAGACCATTCAGAGACAGGTGATCGAGACGACATGCCAAGACCATGGAATTCATCACCACTGAAGTCGCAATGTATGATACAACTGATGTTGTATCTATGCACTTTTTATGAAACAATCTTTCTTGATACAAAAATAAATTGATGTCGTCTTGTGTTTAAAGGTTCTTCTTTCTCAGTTCATCATGCATTATTTGTTATGTCCAATGTGGGGTTTGCCTGGTAGTGCTAAAATAAGGTTTATACCCTCTACACTCACTCATGCATCGGAATTGTGTCATTGCGGTTCATCACAGCTTGGAACTAACCAACCCTTAAAGGACGTTTAACAATCTAGGCCATCTTTTAATTTGAACTGCTGGAAGATTTATTCGTTGTCGCATTACAGTGAGTGGGTGCGTGAGTGAGTTTAGTTTTACGCCACACTCAGCAATATTCAAGCTACATGGCGGCGGTCTGTAAATAATCAAGTCTGGACCAGACAATCCCGTGATCAACAGCATGATCATCGATCTACGCAATTGGGATACGATGGCAGTGAGCCTGACCACCCGATCCCTTTTAGTCACCTCCTACGACAAGTATGGGTTACTGAAGATCAATCCTAGCCCGGATCTTCACGGAAATTGTCACATTACAATTTAGGGGAAAATGGGCCGAAAGTAGATTTTCATGAAATAAGTCAAACAATTATCCCTGATTGACTCATGTTCTTGATAACACATCAAAAGAAAACGTATTTTTTACTTTACAATTGAAGGGAAAATGGGCAGAAATAAGTCAAAATGTACATTTGTCCTTCACCCTTGGAAAAAATATTTTCCACTTTAGGTTGGTCTCGAATACTTTTCTGAAAAAGAAATTCCACAGCCTTTGTGATAGACTTTATTTTTCATATCGGCCTTATTTATAGAAATACGATATGCTTTATGAAGAGTATATGTGTGTCAGTTCGTGACACAAAGGGTGTTGAGACAAAGAATGACAGGGTGTGACAGGGTGTGACTGGAGGTGTTGCGGGTCAGCTGCTAGCAGACACGCTGTGACGTTCATAATCACCAGGCATAAAATACAGAGCGCCATTTTACCTGGTCTTTGCATAGCCGTTTTCAAAATGTAGGAAATAACACATATGGTAATTTACCGAGATTTATCATTTATTATCATTTATTTATTATGGCATGCAAATTTACATCAAAACACATATGTATTTTCCCAAAAGAATCGTTTCATCAAAATTAAAGCCGCATTCCTTATTTGATGTAGGTAAATTTGGGATTATGCTTTCTCAGTAAAGTGCCGGTTCTAGTAATGAGAAAGTGCAATCCCAAATATAACATATATGTTACACATTTGACCACTTTCTAAATGACATTGTGTCTTCATAGCCTCAGGGTGTGAGAGACGTGCCAATTTACACTTGCCAGATGGGTACACAAAGTATGTTATCTAGACTACCAGTTGATATTTTTTTCTCTTTGGCTTCCATTTTTGTGGCTGAGTGGGTTAGATCACTGTGTTTGTGTGCTGGCGATTAGGTGCGTGACACTGCTAACAAACAAACATCCTAGAATCTATACTTTACTGAGAAAGTGTCACCCAAATAAAACATATATTTGACCACCTTCTAAATGGCATTGTGTATTCATCGCCCTCTTAATCATTTTGACAGACTTGCATTTCTTTGTGGTCCCACTGTTGTTTGTTTATGGTATGATATGAAACATGTTGATCCATGGTTATGAACCTTGGGTTTCATCCTCAAGGGTTTCACCGATAAATGCCCACGACCTCCGCCAACACTGGGCCTTTGACTCACTTTACTCAGAAACGACATTATGTTTCTGTAGAACGTTGTGCCGAGCGGTGCTTTCCTCGACGTAATTGTCTTCATCACGTCATCCCGTGGGTGTTCTGGGTTCGAACTGTTCCCTAACAACCCAGTTGTGGCAGTGAGAGGCAACTTAATGTACCGGCTGTACCTCTAGCTCGGTGACTGTGAAGGAATCATTGATGCGTTGCAATCACCGGTTGGTGTGATCCAGATTTGATAAGCAAGACAGATCCGCCATGTACAGCCAGTGCGGCTCTACACACTAAACACAATAAACTAAACCAAACCTCTCTCTCTCTCTCTCTCTCTCTCTCTCTCTCTCTCTCTCTCTCTCTCTCTCTCTCTCTCTCTCTCTCTCTCTCTCTCTCTCTCTCTCTCTCTCTCTCTCTCTCTCTCTCTCTCACACACACACACACACACACAGACCGGTGTTTTGTTTAATTGAACATTCATGTCCACAGCTTATGAATACAATTTTACCATTCCAAACAGAAACTATTTGGTTTTCGTTTTAATGAATGAAACGCTTATGTTTATTAGCATATTCAATAATCATGCTTTAATTATCTCATAAGGTAATGTCATAAAACAGCCACCAGGCCCGCATCATCCACGGTGTTCCTGGCATGTGGTCTCAATCACCTGTTTCTGGATGGTCTTCAAAGCATCAAAGTTCTCCACACTAAACACATAGTTCTGCGTGCTGGCCATGGTCTTCAGCTCGTGGTCATCCTGTCCAAAACCAATACCAATCGAGATGATAGTGACTCCTGCCTTCTTCAGATTCGCTGCTTCTTTTAGCGTCTCGGTTTCATTTATAGACCTACCGTCGGTGATGACGATAGCGATCCTGGTGGAGTTGACCCGAGCCCCATGGGCCTTGGTGAAGCTCTGTGTTCTGGCCATCTTCAAACCGGCCGCCGTGTTGGTGCCTGCGCCGACATATTGGATGTTTTTAATGGCGTTTACCACTGCGGATTTGGTTCTGTAAGAGTTGAACCAGAACTCGCTCTTTGCCGTTGAAGAAAATGTGATAGCGCTGATCTGGTTGTGGTGAGAGTCAATAACGAATCGGTTGGCGAAGTTGTAGACGAAGTTGACCTCTTTGGCGAAGTTATCTGCACCTTCGCTGTCCGAGTTGTCGAGGAGGAAGAGGATATCCGCCGGGGTAGGGCCACACACTGCAAGACAGATGAAGCCATTATTTGTTTTCATTTATCTTTCATTTCAAGAACCAAGAAGATCGCGAAGGTCTTAAAATCATTGAGTGCAGGTGTTATCCATAGAGTAGGACATGTTAACCCTATTTCCGAAAAGCGTCGCAAAAAAACAAAAATCACTAATTCCCACAGATTCATCCATTCATTTGTCATCACTATTTTGCCTTTAACGATCAATGGAATTTGTTACGGCAGATAGTCGAGGTATACAGATGACAGTTACATTATGTTCGATACACTGTTAACATCTTGTAACACATCTTGATATTTTTTGTTTCAGTAATCATTTACTGTTGTCTTGAGACACAAATTCTGTGAGTTTTATGTCAGGGCAGCCTCTGAACGATGGAGTTTGGTACAGGCAAACCAGCGGCTATAGCCGGAGGATCGAACCATGCCCTGCTTGCGAGGTTACATTGTGTGCGCTCTTACAACAAACATGTGAATCTACTCTACTTGCTTTGGATTCACCACATGCACAGATGGTCAGAGCATGTGAAAGGTAGTCTCGGAATAAATCTTACCAATTCTTGGCTTCGGTGTGGTTGTGGCATGGGTTGTAGGTTTGGGTGTTGTCGTTGTTGTAGTGGGCTTGGGAGCTAAAAGAAGCAAGGGATCCCAAATTATATATGTTGACGCACGGAGAATATGGAAAATGTTAGCAACAGAGAAACGTAGCAATAATTTAATATCTTTTCTTCTCCTGGCTAGCAATTCTGGAAACGTTCGTAGCCCTACGAACTTCTTAAGCCCATTCTTAACACATTGGCAACGATCAAAGATAAGAATTCTTGACGTGTCTTTGCATGTGTTTGTGACGGGTGGAATTAGTGAATCAGGATACTCTCACTTATTAGTAAACACCTGTACGGTCATTTATAGACACATGCCTAAGATTTTGGTCGTAATCGTTTAATGGACTCATTTACCAATGATTATGGAAATGGTTTTGTCCCTTTTCCTTAAGGCATGGGAAGATGTGTTTGGAGCTATTGTTATTTGGGCGTGTTATTCATTGTGTAGCAGTGCTGTATTTGTGTTACATATTTACTGTTAAAATTCAATAGAGGGCGGGGGTGATCTGGTTACTATATTTAGACAGGAAGACATCTCACATTGTATTTCACATTACAAGACGTCTAGCATTTGTGTGAAGATCACTTTCTCTCCCGGATACTCAGCCTTGGCCTACTTTTACAAGCCTGACAACTCTTAAAGCTAGCTGAATATTTGATTTTGATTGGCATTTTAGAAGATGCTTTTTGATGGACATAAAGAATTTTCTGGATTTCATCTTCATTTTATTGTATCAACGTTGTATCAAAGAATGAAAAGAAGATGAAATCCACAAAATTCTTTATGTTCATGGGTGAATATGATCACTTTCTTTATTGGTTAAACCACTGCTGCTGTATCACAATGTCATGGCCATTGTATTTGTAGAGCCACTGTAATTCCTTTGTAGTGGTTTTTCAAGATCTGTAAACTGTTATGTTAATGTTAGAATATAATTGTCAATTCTTTGTTGATTGTTGGTATCACTCCGTGACTTCACGCTGGTCACGGGATCTCCAGTTATATCAATGTTTCAACATGGGAATCAACTCGTCAGACTACCAGGGTTGGAATGCCACGAGGTACCGTTACATATGGCCTGGTAGGGATTAGTACCTATGTACTTCGTGCCCACTGGACAGTGGAGAATCCGGATTGATTGGTTCCATTGCACATTATATTTTGACAGTAACAATTCAAAGAAATGAAATCACGTGTACATACTTACTCGTGGTGAATATATTTTTAGCTGAAACAACAAGTGCAAACATATCAGAAGAACAACTAGTGAGTGAGGTTAGTTTTACGCCGCTTTTAGCAATATTCCAACAATATGACTGCGAGGGACTCCAGAAATGGGCTTCACACATTGTACCCATGTGGGGAATCGAACCCGGGTTTTCGGTGTGACGAGCGAACGCTTTACCCACTAGGCTACCCCGCCGCCCCTGCCTTAGGGTGTTGAATAGGAGCATTATAAATATGCATTTATTGTTATCATAACGTTGTGAAACCACAAGAAAGCCCAATATTATAACCGACCCAGTATGAAATCTTTTTAAAATGTAAGTTATAACGATTGTATGTTAACCCAGCTGAATATAAAAACATATATTTCGTTTTACAATTAAAATCAATGGGCACGATCTTTCCAAAGGATATATTTTACATAAGCGAGAATATATTTCTTGAATATTTGTTGTCAATTACGTTTGATGTGGAAATGTTACCAGTCTGTTTAAAGTCACCTAATCACCAATGTAAAACATATAACCCAAGACTCACATTCACACAAGAGGTCGACCACTTTGTCATGGATCAAGGGCAAGGACGCTGACGAGTTGACATTGAGGACATACTGATCCCCTGAGGCAATGGCTTTCAGTTCATCCTGTTCGACTGCACTCCCGATGCCAACGCTTATCACCAAAACACCATGGGCCTTCAGACGCATAGCCTCTCTTTTGGTCAAAAGCTCCTCATTGGAACGCCCATCGGTCAACACAACGGCCACGTGTTTGGACCCGTATCTGGCCCCAGCATTTGTGAACGTATGGTCAGTGAGGTACTGTAGACCCAAATGAGTGTAGGATTCTCCGTTGGGGTAATGTTTGCTGTCAATAGCGTTGTTAACTGATTGTAAATCATTGTATTTATTGAAATCAAAATCGTTGTAGGCGTTTGTCGCAAATGTTACCATGGCTACATTTGTAGCGTTGCCGTTGAAGTTCAGTTCACCAATGACGAGCTTAACAAACTGTTTCTGATTATCATAGTTGGTCTTGCCTTCGCTGCCCGACCCATCAAGGAGGAACGCTATGTCAATAGGTGAGGAGTCACACACTGGAATCATAACATGTGAAGCATGTAACATACAATGAGACATATACTACAGTGTGTAACAAACAATGAGACATATACTACAGTCTGTAACATGTAACACTGTGTGTAATATACAGCGAGACACATATAACACTGGTGGTATCATACAATGAGACACATGTAACACTGTGTGTAATATACATACATATGACTGGTGGTATCATACAATGAGACACATGTAACACTGTGTGACATACAATGAGATACATGTGACACAATGGACATTTTAGAAGATGAGGTTCATTTTATGTTTATTTGCCCACAATATAAAGATTTAAGAACAAGATATATGTTAAATATTGTCTGTAACGATAGAAATTCTCTCTTTCGCCTTCTTCAACATGACTGACTGACTGACTGAGTTTAGTTTTACGCCGCTTTTAGCAATATTACAGCAATATCACGGCGGGGGACACCAGAAATGGGTTTAACACATTGTGCCCATGTGGGGAATCGAACCCGGGTCTTCGGCGTTCTTCAACATGAAAATAGCAATTATTTATATATGTATGCAAAATATATTAAGGAAGCGTTTAATCGACGTAGCGCATTATTGATGTAAATATATAAAAATATGTTCTAGTTATTGTGCACATCATTCCTTTTGCATTGTATTATAAATTGTACATGGGCTTGTGGCCTTTCTACTGAATAAAGTTATATACATATATACAATGAAACATACAACACAGTGTGTAACATACAATGAAACATATAATACAGTGTGTAACATACAATGAAACCTATAATACAGTGTGTAACATACAATGAGACGAATGTAACAGAGCGTGTAACATCTAATGAGACATATAATACAGTGTGTAACATCCAATGAGGTATTTAATACAGTGTGTAACATACAATGAGACATTTAATACAGTGTGTAACATATAATGAGACATATAATACAGTGTGTAACATACGATCAGACGAATGTAACAGAGCGTGTAACATCTAATGAGACATATAATACAGTGTGTAACATCCAATTAGGTATTTAATACAGTGTGTAACATCCAATGAGACATTTAATACAGTGTGTAACATATAATCAGACATATAATACAGGGTGTAACATACGATGAGACATATAATACAGTGTGTAACATACGATGAGACATATAATATAGTGTGTAACATACGATGAGACATATATTACAGTGTGTAACATACAATGAGACATATAATACAGTGTGTAACATACGATGAGACATATAATACAATGTGTAACATACGATGAGACATATTATACAGTGTGTAACATACAATGAGACATATAATACAGTGTGTAACATACAATGAGACATATAATACAGTGTGTAACATACGATAAGACATATAATACAGTGTGTAACATACAATGAGACATATAATACAGTGTGTAACATACAATGAGACATACAACACAGTGTGTAACATACGATGAGACATATAATACAGTGTGTAACATACAATGAAACATATAATACAGTGTGTAACATACAATGAGACGAATGTAACAGAGCGTGTAACATCTAATGAGACATATAATACAGTGTGTAACATCCAATGAGACATTTAATACAGTGTGTAACATACAATGAGACATTTAATACAGTGTGTAACATATAATGAGACATATAACACAGTGTGTAACATACGATGAGACATATAATACAGTGTGTAACATACGATGAGACATATAATATAGTGTGTAACATACAATGAGACGAATGTAACAGAGCGTGTAACATCTAATGAGACATATAATACAGTGTGTAACATCCAATGAGGTATTTAATACAGTGTGTAACATCCAATGAGACATTTAATACAGTGTGTAACATATAATCAGACATATAATACAGTGTGTAACATACGATGAGACATATAATACAGTGTGTAACATACGATGAGACATATAATACAGTGTGTAACATACAATGAGACATATAATACAGTGTGTAACATACAATGAGACATATAATACAGTGTGTAACATACAATGAGACATATAATACAGTGTATGTACATACAATGATAAGACATATACATATAATACAATGAGACATACAACATAGACATATACATACATGAGTAATACAGTGTGTAACATACAATGAGAACATATAATACAGTGTGTAACATACGATGAGACATATAATACAGTGTGTAACATACAATGAGACATATAATACAGTGTGTAACATACAATGAGACATATAATAACAGAGTGTGTAACATACAATGAGACATATAATACAGTGTGTAACAACACAATGAGGTATTTAATACAGTGTGTAACATACAATGAGACATTATAATACAGTGTGTAACATATAATGAGACATATAACACAGTGTGTAACATACGATGAGACATATAATACAGTGTGTAACATACGATGAGACATATAATATAGTGTGTAACATACAATGAGACGAATGTAACAGAGCGTGTAACATCTAATGAGACATATAATACAGTGTGTAACATCCAATGAGGTATTTAATACAGTGTGTAACATACAATGAGACATATAATACAGTGTGTAACATACAATGAGACATATAATACAGTGTGTAACATACAATGAGACATATAATACAGTGTGTAACATACAATGAGACATATAATACAGTGTGTAACATACAATGAGACATATAATACAGTGTGTAACATACAATGAGACATATAATACAGTGTGTAACATACAATGAGACATATAATACAGTGTGTAACATACAATGAGACATATAATACAGTGTGTAACATACAATGAGACATAATACAGTGTGTAACATACAATGAGACATATAATACAGTGTGTAACATACGATGAGACATATAATACAGTGTGTGTAACATACAATGAGACATATAATACAGTGTGTAACATATATAATGAGACATATAATACAGTGTGTAACATATAATACATGAGACATATAATACAGTAGTGTAACATACAATGAGACATATAATACAGTGTGTAACATACAATGAGACATAATAATACAGTGTGTAACATACAATGAGACATATAATACAGTGTGTAACATACAATGAGACATATATAATACAGTGTGTAACATACAATGAGACATATAATACAGTGTGTAACATACAATGAGAGACATATAATATAGTGTGTAACATACAATGAGACATATAATACAGTGTGTAACATACAATGAGACATATAATACAGTGTGTAACATACAATGAGACATATAATACAGTGTGTAACATACAATGAGACATATAATACAGTGTGTAACATACAATGAGACATATAATACAGTGTGTAACATACAATGAGACATATAATACAGTGTGTAACATACAATGAGACATATAATACAGTGTGTAACATACAATGAGACATATAATACAGTGTGTAACATACAATGAGACATATAATACAGTGTGTAACATACAATGAGACATATAGTACAGTGTGTAACATACAATGAGACATATAATACAGTGTGTAACATACAATGAGACATATAATACAGTGTGTAACATATAATGAGACACATTCAACACAGTGCGTGGCTGCGATTTGTAATAATTTAGCATTTTTAAAAAGTCAGTTAAAGGCCATATACTTGGAAGTGGGATAAGATTTCATCACAACACTCACGTTTACAGGTTGTATCTGTAAGCTGTTGATGGATTGACTGAAGAGCGTCGAAATTTGGCACAAGGAACACATGCTTCGAATTGCTTGCAATGGCGTTGAGTTCATCCCGATTGACTTCACTGCCGATGCCAACGGCAGCAACAGTAATACGGCGGTCATGTAGCTTCTTCGCTGCGACCACTGTTTCATTGGGAAAGTTCGACTCGCCGTCAGTCAGAACAATGACGATCTTGTCAACATTGTCACGGCCACCGTTCTGTCGGTTGAAGCTGTTCCTGTCGACGTAGTTGAGGGCGTCTCCGGTGTAGGTCTCGCCATTCAACCAGTGAATACGAGCAATGGCGCGGACTAGAGTGGCGTTGTCGGTGTGGGAATTCAGTTTAAACTCGTTCCGCACCGTTGTTGCAAACTGAACAACACTGACTTGGACTGTTGTAGTACCGATATTGAAACTCTTTACAAAATTACTTATAAATGTAGTTTCCTTTTTGAAATTAGACGACGCTTCACTTCCAGATCCATCCACTACAAACACAATGTCTGCTGGTTTATCCGGGCATTCTGAGAGAGAGAAATGGAGAAACGTATATAAAGGTTTCAGATCATGGATTCTGACCATAAACGATGGAGTGACTTAACCAGTTTCGGAGCAACTAACATTACGAATAGGGCGGTGGGGTAGCCTAGTGGATAAAGTGTTAGATCTTCACGCCAAAGACCCGGGTTCAATTCCCCTCATTGGTACAATTGGTGCAGCCCATTTCTGGTGTCCCCCGCCGTGATATTGCTGGAATATTGCTGCTAAAAGCGGCGCCATGCTCACTCACTCACTACTGTACGAAAAAGCTGACCATATAACATGTAAATGAGTGAGTGAGTGAGTGAGTGAGTGAGTGAGTGAGTGAGTGAGTGAACTTAGTTTTACGACGCTTATAGCAACATTCAAGCAATATCACAGCAGGGGACACACATGGTACTCATGCGGGGAGTCGAACCCAGATCTTCGGTGTGACGAGCGAACGCTTTTACCACTTTTACAACTCCCCTTCCTATTACATGTATTGATCAATAATGCACTCTGGTTGTTCTCTGGTGTTCACATTTTATATCCATAAACGTGTCATGGGGATGAAGATGGCAGGCAAAGTATCATAATCAGTCGAATCATCTATTCGAACTGGCAATTTTAGTGGATCCTGTTACGGCAAAAGGACACAACTCTACACAAGTTGAGGGTCTTTCACCAAATGATCATTTGTATCCCCTGTTGTGGAAGACGAGTGACTTAGAGTTTCTTCAACTGAGCTCATTTGAGATACAATATACAAATCTTATTCAGCAAATAGAAAAGACACAGTGCAAAATCCGACCCTTGAAAGGAACAGAAAATATTATTTTTCCTTTGGCAACTTTGGCAAAGACGACTGGCAGGCGTTTATACAAAATGATAGGCTTATAACGTACTATTCACATTTTGATAAGGATCAAATCATGGATTCAACAGAAAACTATTATGTGGGGTCAAATTTGGTTTAAATACCTAAGCTTATTGTAAGCATGGATCCTAGGTTTCAGCATATCATTGCATCTTATGGATCCCATATCTGCTATTAACATGTGTTTTTTATTTGTCAATGACTCCTTCCATGATTTGCAAAAGGGTTAATTGGCGCCATGAAAACCCTTTTTATGGTTACTCATTTATCAAGTACATAAGGTTAGATTAAAGTGGCTGTCTGCCTAAAGAGGGGTTACTATATTATCATTTATCCAATTTTAAATGGATATAATTTCAAATCATAAATGTACGTTTAAGTAAAGTTGTAAATTTTTGTGACCCTTATCAAAGTGTGAGTAGTATATATAGATACAGTTTGACAGATACTCAAGGTAAAATGCATTGTTTCCACTCACTTGTGCCGACGATGTACTCGGGATCGGCGACTGTAACAGCAATTGCAGCCAACAAGACTTGCAGAGTAATTACCAACATGACGACGTGACAAGGAGTGTCTGCAGTTTCTTGTCTGGCATTCTTATACTGTCTTGGCCGTGGGAATAAAGCATGATAATCACATGTTTACAAATGGGTAATGTATGAAACATTTCAGTTATGTAACCTTGTGTTTGATATTTTACGAAACGTCGTGCAATATGAAGTCGTCGAGTCTGACCAATCGTTCCAACGTGTCGCTGAGCCAGAGAGTCTTGGATGGGATGGTTTCTGATATTTTTTGTGATATTTGAGCTGATAGGGGTTTATGTAACATTAACTATGTAGATGTTTGTGTAACCCGTAATATGCTTCAAATTTTTGTCCCAGTGTTGAGGTATTGCATTTTCAACCAAAACCACGGATTGAACTAAAACAAAATGGTTGTCATCTTTGTGGAGAAGTTGGTCACGATCAAGTTTTGTATGTCCATCTGTTTCAGACAGTATCTGTCACCATATATAGCCATTTAGCAACATCCATAAAGCGACATGGCACTCCTTTTATTCTAATCTAATTTGAATGCCATACATAGTTCTATGCTGCATGCGTAAAAATTGCATGAGTAAATGCCACAGTTAATGATAACGCCTGTGTCCATTCAGATCCTTATCGTTTAAGCAGGACTACATGCATTTTGAGAATTATTATGTTTCCATCAGTTAATAGAGCTGTGATTTTACATGCTATTTATTAATACATCGACAAGGTTTACATGGTAAGTAATGATCAGCCATGTCAATGTTCGTGTGGGCTAAAATGTATGTGTTTGTGAGAGATGTTATAACACGATAAATATAAGCTAACTGAAGTCTATCAAATAAAAGCGATGAAACCCAATCGACATCCACAAAAAAACTCTTCAGAGCAAAATCCGACCAGGTGCTCTCAGTTTGAAAATGCGCCACAACCAACTGTTTCAGTGGGAACATATTTTACCGAAGTGTCACCAAATCTGACACAAGTGACAACCATGGCCAAGTGTTTTAAACAGTTCAAGTGATACCAAGAGGTATGTTGACCTTGAGTTGGGCGCTATACTGGCGACACAAAGTAAGGTGCCACACCAGTGTCACTCGGTCAGACACTTTACACTAATACTTAATCAGGCACTGTTGCCACCAACGAGTTAAAATTCAATGTCTCCTCGACTTTATTTCACCCATATAGTGACATGTTATTGACAACACTCATATTGGCGACAGTGGTGAAATATTCTTGTGTTCATGTCACATGTAATTACACTTGTTTCTTTTTTTTCTAAGCTTCCTTGTCAGACAGTAATACTAAATCACGGCAGGCTGTAAACAATCAAGTCTATGCCAGGCAAACCAGTGGTGGATATTGTGAGCAAATACCCACACTGTTGGGGTAAGACGATATGCAATCACTTATGTCTGACCACTATCAAGCATATGTTACTGGGCACCAACACTAACCCAGAATGACCAGGTAGTGTCACTGTTTGATATATCAGCTTGATAACACTGACTCCGACTGGTCAGTTGTAATGCAGCCCACATCAGGGCGACACTGAATGTGTTGTGTGGAATATGCTCTCGGATAGGATGACCTGGCTTTATCAATGCTTTGAACAGCGTTCCAGTTACATTATTGTGTGCCTGCTTTGTGTGTGTGTGTGTGTGTGTGTGTGTGTGTGTGTGTGTGTGTGTGTGTGTGAGTGTGAGTGTGAGAGACTCTCTGTGTGTTGCAGTTGCCATCCACTAGAGATCCATAATGACCCCTGACATGATGTCTTTTCTTCTGGTTTTGTCAACATACTGTCATCACAATGAGAACAAATAAACCATGGTATTATCAGAATATACACTTTATTTCATTGTCTTCATTTAGGAAAGACTAGATACAAAACTTGGTTGAACTGAATTATTGCACTGTGATCTGAGAAATCATAAAACAAGTTTAGCATAGATATCCCAAATAATGCTTATAGTATAAATATCAATGTGGAGAGAATGTGTTATATAATAGCTAGCATATCTGATCATTCTGACAGTTGTCGCTCAGTGTGACCATCTGGAACCACGATGTGCCAACTTGAAGCCAGAATATTTGAACATTCTAACATAGTTGTTTCTCAGTGTGACCATCGAGAACAGTTTCTGTGAACAGATTCTGCACATATGAAGTTCTCTAAGTATGCCTATCTAAATGTTCTGTCAGCCTGCCTATCAGATCATTCCAGTAGCCTGCATATCTGATCATTTCCACAGCCTATCTGTCTGAACATTCGCACAGCTGCCTTATCTGAACATTTTAAAAACCTGCCAGTCTGAGCATTTCAATGATCTACATATCACAGCTGCCTTATCAGAACATTCTAACAGCTTGCCTTTCTGAACATTCTAAATGTCTGCCTATCTGAACATTCTAACAGCCTGCCTTTCTGAACATTCTAAATGTCTGGCTATCAGAACATTCTAACAGCCTGCTTTTCTGAACATTCTGACAGCTGATGTATCTGAACATTCTAACAGCTTTGCTGTCTGAACATTCTAAATGTCTGGCTATCAGAACATTCTAACAGCCTGCCATTCTGAACATTCTAACAGCCTGCCTATCTGAACGTTCTTACAGCTGATCTATCTGAACATTCTAACAGCCTTGCTGTCTGAACGTTCTAATGGTTGGCTTTTCTGAACATTCTGACAGCTGGCAACAGTCTCTTGTTTATCGGAATATTTTAACACCTTGACTAATATTCTAACACAGTCTGAACATTCTAACAACCTGTTATTTGAACATTCCAACAGCCTCTCTGTTTGAACAGTCTGTCTGAACACTCTAATAACCTGCCTGTCTGAATATTCTAACCACCTCTCTGTTTTAACATTCTAATAACTTGTCTGCCTGAACATTCTAACACAATAACGGCTCACCCTGGGTTGCCACCACACAGGTAAGTCAACAGCAGCATTTGTTTGCGTATTAATATTTACCATGTGCAAAACACATTAAAGCAGTAGACATTATCATCTATTTGCAATTTACTATCACAGATTCTCTACGAGATTAATATCACGTTACTTATCATAATCTTGAGAGTATCACTTTAGGTAATTTTCCTGTAATCCACTGACAGATCACAACATAACCCGATCCAGGAATAAAACATACAACCATCAAATGTGCTAAACCAGAAATGTTTTTTAAAAATCTAAAAACAACACAGAGATTTTCAAATGTCCATAACCAAACAAAACTGTTTCTCAGAGACCTTGGCGAACAATTCTCAGCCGTATCAGTATCTTAACACAGAGTGTGACCATAGTTTGACAACAGTCATGTGATGCAGTGTTATTTCAGCTGGAATCTTGCCGGTCTCATGAAACATCCAATGCATGTTTACATATGAAATATTACACTTTCACATATTCATAGCAATGAGATTTGAACACATCAGTTTTATGGAAGCAGTATGACATGCCATGGCAGATAAATATGTTGCATGTAAAACCTAAGGTGTTCTTCAATTTCTTTGGAGTGTACAAAATCAGGAATTTAGTGATGATATCAACTGCCAATGGTTGTGGACAGGTCAAATTGTGACAGATTATAGTATACATGTCATGAAGTCATAAACTCTATACAATTTCAGACTATATACAATCCATTCATAATGATTGTCTCAGATCTTCATACTGCTGGTCTCAAAGGATGGATTGCTCATTTAGCACCTCTTTGACCAGTGTTCTTGTTGTATTTTGGATTGTCAGCTTGACGTGGGAGGTTGAAGTGATTGAGGCGTTTTTGCTTCGGTGAAACCAGCGAGCATGATTATGGAGTTGACAGGACCTAGAGTCATAATCATATTGAACCACAATTTAAATATAGAATGCTTGGTTTCCGCAACATGGCAACTGTGTCCCAAGTCTCATAACCTATGAGTATATAAGTGAATTGGATTTAACACCACTTTGACCAGCATAACAGTTATATCACATTCTGACCGTGTGATTTTGGAGGAAAACCAGATGCAAGTCCAGGACATAACAACTTTGGTGCAATACATGAACACTGGAATGGGGCTAACAAACTTGAGTTTGCAAAACGCAATAAGTTTTAGATCAAACTCTTCCCCAATTATATCATTTAAAAAAAAATTCTTTGCAATGCCACAGGCCCACTTTTACATAAATTTCATATTCCAGATTTGAACATAGAAATGTCATACAAGAATTATGAAATGATGTCAGATGGTCCATAATCAAAATCAAAAAGTTCAGTCTCAGAATTTTAAGAGGATTAATAAAATACCCTTCTGTGAAAATATAGAATTTGTGACATTGGACAAGACCTAAAGTAAAAGTCTATGGTAGAAGATTTTCACACTACAAGAAATAACATTCATGTTCAACTTTTCTCCCTTAATCAAGTAAGTATGTATCATGACAGATAATGTCGTAACACTTTTGCCTCATGATCACAAAATTTTGTGGTATTCCAAATCTGGTCTATCATCAGAAAGTGACCTTCAGAGAAACAATATACAATAACATTATTAAGAATGATAATAACATACATTTACATACAGCAAAATGATGATAACATTGTGAGAGAGATAAAGAAAGTTCCCTAGTTTCACAGATGACAGGTACCTTGTGAACGTGTGAGGCATGGATACAGACAATCTGTGAACATGAACGTACAGAACTGAACAGGTACAGCAGGATGATGTTATTACACTGCATATAACACAGCTGTTGTGTATGACAGTCAAGAAAATACATGTATTTACAAAACATAAATTGTTTAGTTCTCAATACCGCAATGGCCAAAGAGCACAAATTTACAGATAAACAACCAAGGAAAAGTTAGAGTTAAAGTTGAACACCTGTGTTTTTTAACTGTATGCCTTAAGGAACATTCTCCAGCATATATACACAGAAAATGCGCTGGAAGATCCAGATAATGATACAACTATGTAAGCAATCTCATGTAATTCACGATCTCAGATAATATGGTTTCAAAATATTTTTAATGGTACCTTTAGGTTAAATATAAACAAATTGCACATTACATATCAGCTAGACACTCCCATGTACATGTGACACACACTTAATTCTAATGCAGGAGAAGCCATAGTTCCTAGAGGTGCTGTTGTTCACCTTTTATCCTGAAATTTATGGGACATTATAAAATTCCAAATACCAGTCAGTGAGAGAGTGAGTTTAGTTTTACACCATACTCAGCAATATTCCAGCTATATGACGGCAGTCTGTTAATAATTGGACCGCCTCCGTGGTGTAGTGGTTAGAGCGTCCGCCCGGGAGAGCGGAAGGTCGCGGGTTCGATCCCCGACCGTGTCATACCAAAAGACGTTAAATATGGTACTTGTTGGTCCCTGTCTGGCGCTCGGCATTAATGGGTACAACAAGGACTGGTTGGCTAGGAGTCAGTATAATGTGTCTGAGTGGGGTATTCATGCTTCACTGCGGCATGGTATCTCAGTGGGCTAGCACTATAAAACCAGCTTCAGTCTGGGCTAGTACAAGCAGCCGCACAAACACATACACACGCATGCACGTCGTCATATGAGCGAAATATTCTCAAGTACGACGTTAAACCCAATTTCACCTCACCTCACCTGTTAATAATTGAGCCTGGACAAGACAATCCAGTGACCAACAACATGAGCATCAATATACGCAATTGGGATACAATGACATGTGTCAACAAGGTCAGCGCCAAATAGTAGTCATCGAGGATAATAAATACGTACATTTCCAAATAATCGATATACTAACTGTAGATTGCTGTCGTGTAGACTAAGAATACAGTTTGAACATAACGTCATGTATTAGTGTATTGTTTCAATCTGGACAGTCTCACCTTACACTGCAAATAAAGGGGAGACAACCCATAGTGTTACAGTAATGCCTTTCAAGCCACTAACAAATACATCCCCAGCAGCTTTATGCCTTCCTCTTATAATTAGTTGCTTGAAATTTTTGCTTTTCTCAAAATCTTTGGTCAGTGATTAAAAAAAAAAGATATAAAATGAAATCCTTCAATTCTCATTTTATATGAAATATAGATTTTATTATGTTTGACTTTTTTACATTTTCATTGGTATTATATAGGTGCCAAGAACATTAAATATTTTTAAGTTTTTAATACACTTCTTGAATACCAGAGAATGGCCATGGGCATGTGTCACTTTCATTTTAAGGCAATTAATAATAAAACTAGCCTTAAGCCAGATTTAAAAAATAGAAAGAAATGTAAATGCTTCTCTAATAACAGGTGCTGTCAATGACATCAAAATTAACAACCAATAGTTTTTGACAGTTTATGCAAAGACAAGCTATGAAGAACAAGGTTCTGAGATTGCAGCTGAGGATCTGGAAACCAGGCAGATCATGTCTTGTAACATCACAGATAGATATACAATAAATAAGCATCAATAAAACATAGAGCCTGGTTAGCGCCAGATAAATATACTGTTAAAAGATTGGTTAGAACTTGATGGTGCCAATTCCACTACAGGATGAAGGGTTTGCAATGTTAATGTCATGTAAACCTGATTAAGGCTGGGGTGTAAAGCTGCTAATCCCTTAAACTAAAATCCTGTTAATCTGCAATCCTTTTAATCAGTGCAGTGCCATGCTTGGTCAATAAAACATCGGAAATAATCATTTTTGATTACCTGAAACATTCCATTGGACATTTAAGGCAAAAAAGTGAACAAATTATGGATGACTGATCAGTGCTGATACTGAGTGTTCCCAAACAGTGCAAGAATGTGATGCACAAACCTGAACATCTGCCAATAACCTTAATTAAAAAAAAACAGAAAGGAAATCACATAGATTTACAAATTGCAGATTAATTTATCATTGTCACTGAAAAAATCTTTTGTAAATGTCCTGTAAGGTTTGGAAAGAGGGTTTTCTGGATTAACAGGGTTTGACTGTAGAACATCTTGGAAAACAACATGTCTGTACACAAGGGACTTTAGCTCAACTGGATACAATGGAACATAATGGTAGGTTTGCAGGTGTGGGCCAGAGGATCAGATAGTGGAGTAACAATTTCATGCATCTTTCTCTTGGAATATTTTCCAAACACGAGGGTTGGAGAATGACAACATGGAGGGCTATAGGACAGAGGTAATGTTGGAACAAAGTTACCAAGTAAAAACACCACATAACTATTTACCCAATGATCATCTTTCTCTTGGAATATTTTCCAAACACGAGGGTTGGAGAATGACAACATGGAGGGCTATAGGACAGAGGTAATGTTGGAACAAAGTTACCAAGTAAAAACACCACATCATTATTTACCCAATGATCATCCATGCAAGGCCATGCTGTGAGGTATACCAGCAGTTAACCAGTTAACACAAGGGCATAGCTGAGGTTACATAGACATAGTGATCACATTGAGTGACACATAGAAAACTCAATGGATATTTGAAGAAAGATCAAAGAATGGTTGATGTTAAGTTTGGAACAAATGAACAGACATAATTTGTGAAAAAATCAGAAAATATTGAACAGACTTTATGGATAACAACTTCTTTATTTTGTGAGTAGCACAGAAAGTTTGTTCAATATTGTACGTCCCAACTTCTAAAATGCCACTCAAACAAATAATATCAGAAAAGTCTGTGATTTCTAGGGTGGTAACTACTTTGGGAGTATATAAGATGTTCTGGAACAGACAGGATACATGTGACTAACTGGGAAGGACTATTGTGGATTGGGTGTACTTTGTGTGACCTGGCTGGTTTTGAGTTCCTCAAGACGTGGATTGGTTGGTCCTACCAGCTTAGTTAAATTACATGTCACTGACTGACTGACTGACTGAGTTTGGTTTTACGCCGCTTTTAGCAATATTCCAGCAACATTACGGCGGGGGACACCAGAAATGGGTTTCACACATTGTACCCATGTGGGGATTCGAACCCGGGTCTTCGGCGTGACGAGCCAACGCTTTAACCACGTGGGCGCTACCCCCACTGCCCACATGTCACTGTTCTATATCTTGAATACTGCAGACTTACATGAAAAGACTTCACTCATGCATTCAAACGATCTTTCAAATGACATTGAACATCCCCATTGGGAAGGTGGTTTGGGGAAAATAGCTCACATCAGCGGACATAAAACATCAGGGTGGAGATGATTTGGCACTAAGCTGTAATAATCCATAGTAAGTACAACCATTTTGTCTTATGTTTTGATTTTCACGATTAATATGATGGACCTCCCTAACATGACAAGGATGCATATATACAAGCATTGTAGGCCTTTTGTCAAAATACTGTCTTATTTGTGGATCACACATATTACCTTCAACCAACTGTGAATGACTGGTAGTTTCTCTGGATACTGATTTTAATAAGGACAAAACATATCTTAAATCACATAATTTATCAATATACATCTGCAACAAAAATTCTGCAGATGGCAATATGTGTAATAAATGTTAAAATCTATCAAGAAAAGTAAAAGTTAAGTACATTCCTATGAATGACACTGAGAGTAAAGTTTTCATTAAGAATAATATAAATGGCAGCACGTTCCTGCTTATCCTTGATGTTTTGACATATTTTGATATATACTGTCATACATGAAACAAATCATGACACATACATCTAAATTTTACACGATTAGCAACATACTGGATATCTCAGTTTTTTACTTACATATTTGTAATTAATATAAAACTGGTTTATAAAATAGCTAGAATCTTTACTACATTTGGTAACACAGCTGAAACTTTTGATTTAGTCTTTTGTGGTGGAAATATTAGTTTCCTTCAGGTAAATCTTGATCTTGAACTAAAAAATAGTTATGGACCACCTGATTTTTTAATATTACTACAGGTAATGAAGGAATAACTATAGCAAAATGAAAGGACTGGGTAATATGAAAGGTAGATACTTAGTTGTTGTAGGGGTATATGTTTTCATGAAATTGTCAATAACATCTGTATGGGGTAGCTTACTGCGGCAAATCCAGCTGTTTTTACTACAGGGTCAGAATCAGATGTGAAATAATGTTTCAATCAGGTTAACACATAGTTTGATTTGTTTTGTGAAACACAGAATTATCAAAACTAATTCTCACAATTGGTGCAACACACCAGAGCCCTATATTTCACATTTGTCCTTGGTTGTTATTCATATTCAAAGTATACTTTGAAGTTCCCCATTAAGTTTTGTATATTCTGCTATCCTTTATATCCTGACATTTCAGTCTGAGGGAGAGAATGAGTATGGTTTTACGTTTCTTTTAGCAAAATTCCAGCTATATCATAGCGGGGGACACCAGAAATGGGCTTCACACATTGTACCCATGTGGGGAATCGGACTCGGGTTATCGGCGAGATGAGTGACCGCTTTAATCACTAGGCCACCCCACCGCCCCAGTCTGTCGACGGAGATCCGAAGTGATGCATGTCTAGGATATTTACCAATCGGGTGATGATGAGGGTGGTGATGACTAGTGTTGGGAATTGGTTAAAATCTCATAATTGATGATTGGTTCATTACAACCGATCAATCATTGAAAATAATTGGTTAGTTTCATTTATCAAATTTTCCAGGTTATATTTGTTAATGCACACAAAATAAAGAAAAAAACAAGTAGTTCTTTCGAATCTTTGCAAATGAACAAAATGCATATGCAAATTTTACATCTTTAAAGGATGACTCGTATGTTAGGAACATAAATTTCCTGGAGTCTTTAAGATAATTCAATCCTGATTTGGAACAGGCTGGTAGTGCTTATGAAATGTAAATTTAAAGACACAGACAAAACCAACCTTGTGAAAAATATTGTTAAAGCAAACAAGTGTTCCAAAATTGTTTGTGTTCGATTATGAGAAAACATGATTGATTGCTTGGTCGTTTAGTCATTGCGACCAATCTTCGATTATTTCAATTAATCGGACAACCACTAATGATGACAAACGTAGAAACATCGCCAGTGGCTTTACCACATATAGTGCTGATGCTGTTGTCATTCCGACCATACAGCTCGTGGAAACTGTTGTCACTGACTGATCTACATGATGAGTCTACATGATCGTACAATGAACAAGTGAGTCATGGTACATTTAACACGGGGATAGACTTGGCAGGTATTGGGGATAATTGAGTATGCCAGGCACAAAGATTAAAATACCTGGGTATCTAAAGGTTTGTTGTCTAACACCAATCAGCAATATTCCAGCTATATTGCGGCAGTCTGTAAATAATCAAATCTGGAACAGACAATCCAGTGATCAACAACATGAACATTGATCTATGCAATCAATTGGGAACCGATGACACGTGTTAACCAAGTCAGCGAGTCTGACCAACCGATCGCATTAGTCGTCTCTTACGGTATCTTAAAGTTGTACCTATTAAGACCTGTTCAACAATACCCATCCTGAAACTATACTAACTATTTAAAATGTGTCTGACCAGAACTTACAAAACCCCAAATACACAACATAGGAACAAAGACATAAATGCAAAAATACCATTTAACCCTAAGTAGTTGTACTGCACATAGCCTAATCACACACCGCATACGTTAGACTATACTACTGAAGAATCACACTCCATCAGATAAAAGCAAAGTGAAAATAAAAACCGACAAAATACCTTCAACTCTCCAAATATGCTGATATATGGAGTGTTTCCGTTCTCCGGTATATACCTGAAAATCGCCGGTAAAATTTGTTGGGGACCGGTAAATTGAAAGCCAACCGGACACTGTGTCTGGTAAATAATCATGTATTAAAACAAAAAAATCATGGGTAAGCGAAATCAGTCTTGGCTTTGCTTTCATGGTCGCAAAAGTTGTTATGTTTGGGAAATACCCAGGCTAAAAATAACTTTAAAATGAGTACTTACAGTATGGTAATAGGATATGACCAGCAAATTTAATTCATGACTGGTAAAATTTTAGGTTGCCAGACACAGTGTCCAATAGATAATTTAGTCAGTGGAAACACTGTATATCTCAACTTTTGAGTGGCATCGTGAGTTTTGAACAAAAGCAAAGAACACAATAAAAGCTGTAAAATCAACAATCATTTTCAAAATCTTATTCTCAACTCTTGATCAGTCAGGATTAACACATTCATATTTTAAGGGAACCTGCCCTCCAGTCAGTTATAGTAAATATAATAATAAATATGACATTCTGTATTTGATTCAAGCATTACTATTTTTAACATCACATATTTCATTTTTTTAATGTCACAATTTTTAAAAGGAATTTGATTGTATATTACTCAAAAGAAATAAAAGAACATCCAAGTCTCTCATATTAGTCTATCTGTCATAAGTCATTACTATAGTAATATGAAAGAACCCAGCGATCCTTTACTTCTACTGAGTAGCATACATGATCCCAGCATCCTGCTTTGTGAAAGACTGATCATGAACACCTGTAAAGCAAATGGTAAACTTGTTGGCCATTGGATGCAGGTTATTGTAATTAATACTTTTCTCCAATTTGAAATGTGCACATAGACACAGAAAAGACTTGGGATGTAGCTGAACTCGTGAATGTCATAGTGCGCGGAAAAGCATGTTTAGCAAACTGTTTTGATCCAATGGGATTTGATGTGTTGTTTAATGTAATAAAAATAACATTATACAAAATGTCTATAATCCTGCTTAATACATAAAATATATGAGATGTTTAAGCTAATAAAGCAGGTTTAAAATCACTCAGGATCAAGCATCAAAATGATGTGTGTTATCATGTCTAGTACAAGAACATTTGAATATTCTGCTGTAATTAGAACATGATACTCACTAAAACAATCTGTACATTCTCCATGGTCTACTCACTTGTAATCAGAATTACATCACATTAAAAGTTACATCACATTACCCCTCCTCTGACATCCAATCCTGGGTGACCTATGTTCAATCAATACCAATCAGAATGCAGGGTTCTTGAATACCTTGATGGGTTACCATGACGATGGCCCTGGATGACTGTGTCACTGATAGTTGTTCATGCTTTCGACCCTCTGTTTACTTCAACTATCATGACATCACTGTGACATGAATGCAATATTGCTAACCTCTTTTCACTCACTCACTCATCCACATCCCAGGCTCTGGGTGAAAATTCTCCCTAATGAGAATATGGATACAGACTAGATAGGTTGAGTTGTTCTGGTTGTGTCCAGACATCTACATCACTGCCACAGATGTTTTATTAAAGCAATCAACATCAACAGATAACTTCGAGGATGCAGGCACTGAACATACTTAATTCAGGCATTGAAAATTCTCCCTAAAAAGAGATGATGATAGTGTTTTTATAATATAGTTACAGTGGCTGAATGGGTGAAAATGGGGCTGATGCTGAAATAGGTCCAGAATTGATTCATTACAGTTCTTGAACAAATTATTTCTTTGAAGCAAAAATAAAAAAAATTAAATAATGTTAAATAAATTTTTAGTTCATGTTGGTGTGTTGGTTTAGGAGGTAAAAAATAACTGTTAAATTGATCGGATTGATGAGGTTTGAACAAGCATGTTCAAGCACGTATCTCATCAATACAATGCATGAATTAGGAATCATTGTTTGATTTTTTTAACAGTTTTCATCACCAGCTTTGAATATGTGATCAGACTCCACAAAGTTGTGATGAAAACTGGAATGAATCAATACACAATAGACATGTGATCGATTAGAGAATTTTAAGAACACTCAAGTGTTCCTTTATTTTTGTTTTCATGCTTTGAATAAGCTGTGGTGATGAAAACTGGAAAATAATAAATATGACATATTGTATGTGTGCTACTGAAACAACCAGAACAACTCCATCATTCCTCCTGACATCCTCATACCATGGACACCCTTAAAGTATCAGCAAAATCTCAGAAATAAGCCCCGTCCCTGTAGCTAGCTAAGCCCACCCAAGAAGTGATCGGATGTTTAGCAGAGCTCTGTACTTATACCTGAGAGATTCGATTGGTCTCTGTACAGACCTCTTCAGTCCATACCAAATGCTACTTGGCAGTGTATGAAATAAGGCCCGTCCGACCGCCCGAAAACGGTCTAGATTTCTGACAGACGGTCTAAATTTACAGCTAGCCAGCCCGATGGTCTGGTAAAAATCTTAGATGTTTCATACATCTGAGTAAATTCCCCATATTTGGTCTGGTTAAATCCATTTTGGGCTGGTGACATTTTGAAGTTACCAGCCCTGATGTCTGGCTGGATTTTTGGCTTATTTCATACACTTACTTCGGGCAAAGTCATCTACAATATAGGTGAGGCCGTTGATGATAGGCCAACAGCAGTATAGGGTTGATAGCAGCAACAGAAAAAACAGCATCATGAAGCAACATCACACACAACTCACAAGCTGAAGATTGTCCTTGGATGGTAGCGAATATGTATCCTGCGTTTCTTTATAAATCTGTACATTAAGAAAAACAAAAACAGAAAGCAAACAGAAAATACTATGAACATTGTCTTTCCTACTGGGTCCTGGCCCTTCGGATCACGGACCAAACGTCTGCTTTCATGTGGATTATGACTTTTATTCCTATGGTGACTTTTCACAACATGTGTGTCTTTCTTAAAATTTGACTGTTGAACACTTTTCTCTTCTTTTTCTGGTTCATCGTAATAGGTATATTCCGCATCATCAGCATTTCCCTGAGGGTTATCCCCCTTTAATGGCTGGTCCATATCCAGGTTATCAACCAACCCACCAGCATCATCTTTCCCGAATCTTTCCACATCATTCAACTCATCCTTCCTTTCAGCACCAAAATGAACAATCTTCCTATCACGAATGTTCTCCTCTTTATCGGGATACATGTCTTTATCCTCATATGCTTCATCATCCACACCCTCGTCCCCATCTTCTTCTTCATCCTCGTCCTCGTCCCCCTCATACTCCTCCGACTGTTCCCCTGCATCCCCCCCATCTCCGAACCCATCATCCCCCTCCCTGTCTTCCAGGGCTGGAGCCATCTGATTCAGGGCCAGGTCCTCTGCATTTAGCTTCTGCTTCACAGGGATCAAGCCCTCCTTCTTCACCTTCTGGGAGTCTCCCAGACTTGCTTCTGCCTTCTCCAGCAGGGACCGAGAGCTCTCGGGCAGCACCCGGTGTGAGGAGTTGAGGTCCAGAGGTCCGGGGTCGATGAGGTAACGGAGGTACATGACAAGAGCTCCTGCTCCTACGGCTGTCTTGTGGGCAAAACAGCCCCCTGGAACAAAATTGGTGCCGATTAAGTAAACTGGTACTTATCATCAAAACATCACTTGGGTGAGAACAAGCCATATGAGCAGTTTCAGGAGATTTCACTTCAACTAAATTGAATCAGGATATTTTGGAGACAAATATGACATAATTGGTTACCATAACATCACAGTCAAATGATTTAACTAATCTCTTTGAACTCAAGCTGGTTAGATGTAATTTTGACTCCAAAGATAATGGTTACTATTGTTTACAAATGGAAAATTTGGAACTTTGATTTTGCTTATAAAGAGTGAGTGAGTGAGTTGAGTTTTACGCTGCACTCAGCAATATTCCAGCTATATGGCGGCGGTCTGTAAATAATCGAGTCTGGACCAGACAATCCTGTGATCAACAGCATGAACATCGATCTGCGAAATTGGGAACCGATGACATATGTCAACCAAGTCAGCGAGCCTGACCACCTGATCCCGTTAGTCGCCTCTTATGATAAGCATGGGTTCCTGAAGATCAATATTCTAACCAGGACCTTCACAGGTGCTTATAAAGAGAATGTAACTGGCGTGTCTTTTGATAAGAAATGTTTGATAAGTCTTAGCATTTACTGCCTCTTGTTGATATGTATCTGATATGGAAAGACACACAGGCAAGTTTCTTTACATTCAAGTACAAAACAATAGCATTGTCTAGAGCTTAGCTGCAATCCAACAGTCAAAACATACAGTCTGACAAACATGATGTCAAATTTCAAACATTCAGTTCAGGAAGAATATTTCAGTTAATATCAGTTTGCCACCTTGATGCGACAGGAAAACCCCAGGTAACATTAGTGAAAGCCAGGACTGACATAATCAGAGCAAATATGGAATTCGGACCAATGATCAAAGGATTCTGGTTTGAATTCAAGATGCAACCCCACACATAAAAGTGTGGTGCCATAGAAGCCAGATTCCTTTAGTTACATACAAGGAAAATGTATATGGTTATGTAAAGAAATGAAAATACAAACAAACCTTCCATAGATTTCTCCACCAAAAGTTTTCTTTGTGGTCCCCGAGATTGTACATATGAGAGTTGTCTCCCTGCAGTCCGACCAATCAAAGCTTTGGGAATGTTCACTTGGAGCTGGTTTAGTTTAAAGTTCAAGTTATTTGCTACCTTTAGTGGCTGATCTTGATTTGGTTGATTAAAGCCATTGCCAACAGCCATGCTACGTTGAACTTTGCTCACGGTATTCTCCATATCACTTTGTTTCAGAGGGTGTTGTTTTGAAATATTTCCTGTATTGCCTGGCAAAGGCTTTACCCTGGCTGCCTGTGCCTTCTGATGAAATATAAGTGGATTCACTTTCTGTGCATTATTCAACCTGCTCTTCTTTGACTGGTAATTTGATTGGTTCCCATTTAACTTTTTGGCCCTCATGCCATTAGGTAAAGCAGCATTCATTTTGACCACATTTTTTTGATTATTGTATAGCAACTTGTGCGACTTATCGGCCATGTTTGCATTAATGAGCTGGTACTCTGTGCGGTTGAACTGGTCCTCAGCATGTTTATATTTCTTCTTCTTCTTTTTGCCACGGGCCGAGTCACCATAGCAACCAGACTCCATCTGCCATGAGAGCACCTGCTGGAGGTAGTCGTGTGTCAGGTGCTCGTAGAAGCCAATGTTGGGGCACACAAACTCTACAAAGAAGAAGAATATACATCAGTAATGGCTTGTGGAGACGAGTACATTTTTTTAAAGTGATCCAAAAACAGATCAATGAAGAAAAAAACAAAATGGTTCTATATTTGGTTTGCGGAATATATTTTTTTGTCAGTACTGGGAGAAAAGACAAACTGTCTCCCAGACCCTATGGAATAAATTACAAAGGAGTCAGGCTCAAGGCTTGAATGTTTTGGCAAGTCTAGTTTGCCTCAAACACTGTTCTGGGCTTACAATGGATTTGTTTTGTAGATAAATATTTCTTTTATAAAAAGTTATTTTAAAAATATAAAATAAAAAATATATTTCTCGGACTAAATGTCAGTCTAACAAACTGTTAAAAAGTCTTCATATTTCTATTCTTTTTGGATAGGCAGCAGAGCAGCAGTCTTAACATCATATAACATCAATATAACATCACATAACTTTCTGTAACCTCTTGAGGGTTTTTATCTGTATACATAATTGGGGGGGGGGGGCTACAACTACTGGTACAAGTAAGTTTGGGTTCGAGGGAATGTGACTGTCAAATTCTGTTTGTTCATTGAACAAATTCATTTCTTTTGTCATAGATGTCAAACGAAGTGTCAATATTCTTATCCCTTTCACATTTTCGTATACTTCTACACTTCATAGATTCTTGTCAAATTTGCAATATAATTTACATTTTCACTATCACTCTTTAATGAGAAACATCACTAAATGTCCTCATTGATATACATCACTTCTAAATGTCTCTCAAACACGATAATTTTTGAGAATAATGAGTCCAAATTACACACCATAAAAAATATTGTGAACAATTCATCATGGCAGGTTGACACCTTCCCGAACATTCTCTTATCTCACAGTTGCCTGTTAAATGTGAACATCTTAAATTGTTCATTAGCTAGAAGTTTGTTCTTTGTATATAGTTTGGTATGATGGTATCATACAGGATTAATGTCTTTCAATCATAGGAATGTTTTTTGTCTTTATTTTCATTAATGAGTGAGTGAGTGAGTGAGTGAGTGAGTGAGTGAGTGAGTGAGTGAGTGAGTGAGTGAGTGAGTGAGTGAGTGAGTGAGTGAGTGAGTGAGTGAGTGAGTGAGTGAGCATAGTTTTACACCACTTTTAGCAATATTGCAACAATATCACAGTGGGGGACATCCGAAATGGGTTTCACACATGTACCCATGTGGGAATAGAACTCGTGTCTTCAGTGTGATGAGTGGACACTTTAACCAAATGGCTACCTTGCCACCCTTATCATTAAGATGTGAACTTTGTTGAAAACAGATGAAAAGAAAATACATCACATATAATTATTGATTCTGATCTACGATAATGTCACATGATTGTTGTTGTTTATTCTGAACCATACATTGGACATTCTGAACGTGCATCTTAGTGAGTGAGTGAGTTAGGTTTTACACCGCTTTTGGCAATATTCCAGCTATATCACGGCGAGGAACACCCAAAATGGGCTTCACACATTATACCCATGTGGGGAATCAAACCCGGATTTTCAGTGTGACAAGTGAACAGCTTAACCACTGGGCTACCCCAACGTCCCCACATGCATCTTAGACAAGGAGTGAGTGAGTGAGTGAGTATGATTTTATGTCGCTTTTAGCAATATTCCAGCAATATCACGGCGGGGGACACCACAAACGGGCTTCACACATTGTACCCATGTGGGGAATCGAACATGGATCTTCGGCGTTATGAGTGAACGCTTTAACCACTAGGCTATCCCACTGCCCCCTTAAACAAGGACAGATAACAAACATGGTTCATTATGCAAAATTATGGAAATAAATATTTATCAAACATATCCCAGTTGGAGTCAGAATCTGATGATTACACTTCTAGAATGAACAGGTTCTCATTATTTCTAAATTATATTAACAGGAAGAGGATACCACTGTCTGATGATAAAGCCTTATTGTGTATAAAACCCATTACAAAGCCCACATATGTGTTTAGACTGCTATGTATGACACAATGTTCACAGGTCTCATGGATACAACTGGGAATACACATCAAGAGTTACGTTATTAAGGGCACTGAAATAACATGTTCAAGACGACAATCTCATAGATCAAATCACCATACAGACATGTACTTGAATTTAAAAAAATATATATCTAAAGAAAATACACATTACATAACATATAATAGCTGATATTATGTCTTCAGAGAGATAATAATTTCATAGATAAAAACACTCTCGAGACATGTAACGGATATTAAAAATCTTTAAAAAATTGTAATCAATAAGCTTTTACCAGTCAGTTGTTTAATCATGACAGTGTGTCTGGTTACAGTGCGGAGTAAAGAGGACGTCCTCCACAGTATCTGTCAGCTAGTAATGATTGATTGTCATATCCAAGTAATAAGTCGCTCAGGGACACATGGCATCAAAGGCATGTGGTTGTCATCTTTGTCAAATCTATAATTAGGCCAGACCAATTTTATTTCTTTTTTTTTTTACGGATTTTTGTCCTCAGATAACCTAAAGGCAGGATGTTGTTGTTGTAAGTTTACATTTTTGGTCAATAACAACATGAGGATTTATTTTGAGCGGGGAAAATTAATTTTTATTTTTTTTCTTATTCCTGAAAAAATACGACCGGCGGATCCTGTAAAACAAGAAATAAAATTGGTCTGGCCTTACCTTTCCAAAACATGTTTCACCGTCTGCAAGTCATGACTCAGTTATGTCTGTTTTGTTGTGTTGGAGCTGAATGTGATTGCACATTGTATGCAGTACTATCTGGTGGTGAGGGGTGGTGATCATACTATCAACCATTGGTTTGACTGTGCCATTTACTGGCCACAGTGATATGTCTGGAAAACTGCTGACTAGTGAAAACCAGACAAAAACTTCCTTTAAGAGGCCACTTCTTTGAGTGGCGTTAGAAGTTGGTGTGATGAACAACGAGGAGAGTTCTATGGATATACAACTTCTTTGATATTAATGTGAGCCATGTTTCGGTGTAGCTACTAACACCGTTATCACTGCTTGATAACAGTGTTAGTAGCTACACCGAAATGTGGCTCATATTAATATTGAAGAAGTTGTATATCCATAGAACTCTCCTTGTTGTTCTTTAAGAGGCCAGTCGCTTCTTTCTGTGGTCTTTTACATTAAAGGATTACAACATCCATACATACGATGATGTAAGTATCATATCACATATGATTGTTCACACCTGTATTAAAAACTAATTAATATAGGTAGAAGTTTGTTTGCTTGGTTGTTTATTGTTTAACACTGCATTCATACATATTCCAGCTCCAAAACATTGATTCCGGACCTGTGATTGACATGAGTTTGAATACAATGACGTGTCACCACGTCAGACCACCCGATTCTTTTAGATGCATCTTAGAAGAAGAATAGTTTTATGGGGATCAATAGTCTTACCAAGAATCCTTACTGGTTTGACTCTAGTGGGTGCTAGATATACTTGTCTCATACTAGGCAATTGCTTGAGTCTACATTGAGACAGGATGCTGCTGGTCAAAGTGTTGCTACTTACGCTGCTCCAGAAAAGAGGTCGTGGTACTTCATTCTGATGAACCCCTCCATGTAGATGTGAACTACAGCCAGACACAGCTGGTCAAAGTGTTGTTACTTACGCTGCTCCAGAAATAGGTCCTGGTACTCATTCCTGATGACTCCTGTAGATGTGAACTACAGCCAGACACAGCTGGTCAAAGTGTTGCTACTTACGCTGCTCCAGAAAGAGGTCCTGGTACTCATTCCTGATGACCCCCTTCATGTAGATGTGGACAACAGCCAGCATCTCGTAGTAGTTGTTGGTGCAGAACTCCAGCTGCAGGGTCTCCACATCGGGGAAACCCTGATCCTGGATGACCTTCTTCATCTCCTGGAGACACCCAGCCTGGAACAACACACGGAAGGTTAGACAAAGTTATACAAGGTTAGACATGGTTAGACATGGTTCTGAGGCATTTGTGTTTGAGTTTCAGAAATCAGCTGACAGAAACATCGAGAACAACACAAATGTCATTCTGTCTATTGACAACTAGGAAATACTAGAAAATCTCTATAAGTGATTGTTGTACAGTTTCCACTTGTATATCATTGTTCTTTTTGAAAGATTTACAGATTCCTTGAACTGTGGTCAAACAAATGACGGTCTTTAAGTTTCTTACAGGTGAGGTGAAATGGGGTTTAACGTCGTACTTGAGCATTATGATGATGTGCATGCGTGTGTATGTGTATGTGCGGCTGCTTGTACTAGCCCAGACTTAAGCTGGTTTTATAGTGCTAGCTCACTGAGATACCATGCCGCGGTGAAGCATGAATACCCCACTCGGACACAGTATACTGACTCCGAGCCGACCAGTCCTTTTTGTACCCATACATGCTGAGAGCCAGGCAGGGACCAACATGTACCATATTTTAACGTCTTTTGGTATGACGCGACCTCCTCAACCTTCCGTTCTCTGGGCGGAGGTTTCTTACAAGAAAGAACATCCACAACTGTGTCTCAAGAGATGGAAGATGTGGACACCAAAGCCTGGAGCAGCTGGATTATTGCTAAACATATACGGAAAGAGGACCTGGTGCACCCAAATCCTGTTTCTAAGCTTGACAGCTTGTGGTTTCACCAAAGTCGTAGACCTGCATTACTTCAGTCCTATCTTCTGCATCGAGCTAACGTACTATGACACAACTGGCATGCTGTTCGCAAAGTGAATCCAATTTCAAGTTACAACATGCTTCATTTGTTTGTGAGGTTTTACGTCCCTTTTAGCAACATTCCAGCAATATCACAGCGGGGTACACCAGAAATGGGCTTCACACATTGTACCCATGTGGGGAATAGAACCTGGGTCTTCGGCGTGACGAGTGACCACTTTCACCACAAGGCTACCCCATCATCCTACTTCATGAATGGTTAACATTATGCCTAAGGATTACCTTCTCTGCTACCATCGTCCAGAGGATCTGGTGAGTGAGGCCGTACTCCGTCAGTCCACGCAGCGTCATGGTCTTAACACACTGGTCGCTGATGACGCAAGACCGACCATACTTGTGACTGGCCCCTGTGAGCTCACCCATACACTGGTCACTCACCTCCTCGTCCAGGTTGGCTGAAAATCATGTACATAATATTAATAATAACAACAACAACAAGACAAAGTCATCAATATTCCCCGCAATGGCAAAATACTCTTCATGATTATGTCTACGAGTTATGATTATGTCAAATATTTAGGTGTGTACATAGAAAAGTGGAAGGAGAGTATTGAAAGGTTTTTAAAGTTCTGCTCCAGAAAGCAGCACTATCACCAATTTCAGGCTAAGTCAAACTTGTTGCCATGGAAACGCCAAAAATATTTTATTCAGAAATCCAAAACTACCAAAAGGCACAAGTACACTACCAGATCTATCTATGTGCCAAGTTTGGTGAAGAAATAGTGAACAGTTTTAGAATTCAGCTCCGGAAAAGAGCACTACCACAATTTCAGGCTAAGTCAAACTTGTTGCCATGGAAATGCCAAAAATATTTTATTCAGAATTCCAAAACTACCAAAAGGCACCAGTACACCACCAGATCTATCTATGTGCCAAGTTTGGTGAAGAAATATTGAACGGTTTTAGAGTTCTGCTCCGGAAAAGAGCACTACCACCAATTTCAGTCGAACTTGTTGCCATGGAAACGCCAAAAATATTTTATTCAGAATTCCAAAACTACCAAAAGGCACCAGTACACCACCAGATCCATGTATGTGCCTACTTTGGTGAAGAAATATTGAACGGTTTTAGAGTTCTGCTCCGGAAAGACAAATGTGTACGGACTGACGGACGCACGCATGCACGGACGGAGTCCATTTTAATACCCCCCGCAAAACGCGTTGAGGGAGATAACAACAATGGCCATAATTCACACACTAGTGCATGCACAAAGCGCAGGGGTAAGAGGGTGTGAGTCAGTTATATACAGAGGAGAAAAGATAAAGTCTTCAGTTGTGATTTGAAAGCCCCAGTGAATTCCGATCGTGACAACAGATACAATTTTCTGCTTGTTGACATATAGTAAACAACTTCAGGCAATAAAGCTATGTCTTGTTAACAGAGTTATCTGCTTGTTGACTTATTTAGACTTAGCTTGTTGACACAGTAATACAGTATTAGCCATTTTTTGGCCACAAGTCCAAAGGCCAAGTCTTGTCAAATTCTATTCACTCTTGTCAAATTAAAGAATATGCAAATGATAACAGTTCAATCAATTGAAAATTATGTTAAGAGCACAAACTGGTAATATCTTAAGAACTGATTTAAATATTTTGTGTATATGGAGGTATAAATGTAAATACTGCCGTAATGGCAAGAGCATATTGAAGTAAATTCTTAATATTTGTCAACAATAACTTCACAGACTACTTATGTTGTCATTAACACAAGCAGAACCATAGACAACAATTCCAAATCAGAAACAATGTTCAGCACAATATGTCAACAAGCCCCCACCTAATTCAGGAAAAATTGATTGGTTAGCCAATCAAAAAAAATCATCGATTGCTCACAGACAAATAGTAGTATCAGCTTGTTGTCATTTAGGTATCATGTCGGCCATTAGTTTTGTATGTGGTGAAATTTATTATCAACTTGAAGATATACAACTACAGCAAACTACATGCTTATAACAGCGTTTAAAATTCCCGCCTGCCCGACCGTCCGGAATGGTCTATTTTCATCTTGGACAGTCAAATTTCAAAAGTAGCCTGTCCGGTGGTCTAGTAGATATTTTTACCCCTAAGAGTAAATATTTCATAATATCAGACACGTTCTCTTGACGTCAGTTTGAGGTGTTTATGATAATTATGTTAAACTATTTATGATTGGACAGTTCATTTTACAATAAACAATCACAACACGTACTTTCAGTTTACCTAAACTCGGTGCATTGCCTGTTAGTGCTATGTTGTTCATTGCGATGCTTGCAAACAGTAAAGAATTCAGAAACCTGATGTTTGTTTTCATTGTTGAAAACCGGACAGGCAAGTTTGTATCTGGACTGATAATTGTTTAAAGTTACCAGTTTTGCTGTCTGGCTTGGAATTTTGGGAGTTTTAAACACTGCTTATAACAAACTAACAGATATATCAAACTGGTGTTAATCGTGGCCACCTGATGTACCTTTTAGTCAAAATGTATATTACAAACAATTGTCATAATGAACTAAAATTAGCTATCCCTTTGAGTTTGTTAAAACCATGTATACTGTGTGAGCTTATTGATATAATGAGTGTTGCATATTGTTGGAATCCATACACAGTAATATGAGGACTATCTGGGGATATTAATAACAATAATAATAATAATGCTAATTTTTGCGCCTAGGATCCAACACGATGCTGCTCTCTGGCGTTACATTATTACCCTGACAGAATTGTACTTTCAAAGCCGTTACTAAGCGATTCTCACGACAGTATAGGTCTGTACATCCGCTTCTCAGGTACCCATTTTAAACAGCTGGGTGGACTGAGTGCAATGTGGACGAAGTGCCTTGCCCAGGGACACTACACAGTATGAGACCCAGGTCACACATTTTGGTGTCTCCATCGGGATTCGAACCTGGGCCTTTGGTGTGAGAGGCCAGCATGCTAACCACTATACATCTAGAAGTCACTAGAAGTCAACATAGACAATCTAGTGATCATAACAAGCCACTAATTAGTCCACTAAACCATCCAGTCTATCCACCCATCCTTTAAGTTGCTTGTTCTGACAAGTATGGGTTGCCAATGAGCAGTTTGAACCTGTTGTTCCCATGGGGATGTTGACATATCCGTCTCAGTGTGTTGACAAATTGTACCGTTATCTCAGTCTAACAGGAGAATGCTATTGTGAACAAACACAGGTGCTATTTGTCCACTGACAGACTGAAATAAGTATTCAGATAGTGTAAACATTTCAATTTACCTAAGTGACCTTGACAAAATAAATTTAAAATACTGAATCTTTGGTAGGACGAACTTGAAGTTCTGAGTGAGTGAGTGAGTGAGTGAGTGAGTATGGTTTTAAGCCGTTTTTAGCAATATTTCAGCAATATCACTGCATGGGACACCACAAATGGGCTTCACACATTGTGCCCATGTGGGAAATCGAACCCAAGTTTGACCAGCGAACGCTTTAACCACTAGGCTACCTCACCACCCCTTGAAGTTCTGACATTCCATTTCTGTGGCATAAAATCCCAGCACTATCACACTATGACATTTTAAAAGTGACATCTGAACTTCAGCAAATATTAAACAATCAAAACCTAGCAGGAGTTAATAAAATAAAATAAAACAAAAGAGAATGTTTAAATATTAAATGTCTATGCCAGCCCCCAAAACAAATTTCACTGGGTGGAAATGGAAATATACTGGTGGAAAATACATTAATTGACCACTGAAAATCAGTGACAACACCAGGTGTTTGAAAGACTTGTGTTTTGAATTTGTCAACACACACACAAGGTGAGGTGAGGTGAAATTGGGTTTAACGTCGTGCTTGAGAATATTTCGCTCATATGACGACGTGCATGCGTGTGTATGTGTATGTGCGGCTGCTTGTACTAGCCCAGACTTATGCTCGTTTTATAGTGCTAGCCCACTGAGATACCATGCCGCAGTGAAGCATGAATACCCCACTCAGACAGGGACCAACAAGTACCATATTTTAACGCCTTTTGGTATGACGCGGTCGGGGATCGAACCCGCGACCTTCCGTTCTCCGGGCGGACGCTCTAACCACTACACCATGGAGGCAGTAACACACACACAAATACAACACTAACACGATCATATGTATATATATAAACTGGGACATAAAAGTGTTCAACAATTTGCTCCCATATACCAGTCCTTAAAAACGAAAGACACTCATGTTAATTTATCTGTACATCTTGTACACACTTATATTCTAAAGGTGACACACACTGGACAGTGCTGATGTCCCTAACACACCAGGCACTATTAAACCCTGACCTACTTGTATACCTATCAGTTAGATTTAACATGTCAAAAATATGTTCCCCTGAATAATACGCACTCATATATCACAAAACATTGAAAAATGGTGACACTGAATGATGTCTTTCGTCTTTAAATATGACAAAGTAGTATTTAATTTTTAAAAATATATTTCACCCAATGTGAACTTGCAAACTTAGACCAACTTATCAAACACCACAAACTCACAGCAAATATACTGATGTCTTCATTTCCAGTTTTTAGAAACTGTGAGAAAAGCATGTATATTTTTCACATACAAAATATTTTCCCTAATATTCAAAATCACAAAATTGAACCCAAACAAATAGGGCTTCCAGGAAATATAGCTTTTATCATATGTGAGGAACATGGAAGAATGTGAGTTTTGACATGACCCGGAAGCCCCCATGACATTCACATGACATGACATGACATGACATGACATGACATGACATGACATGACATGACATGACATGACATGACATGACATGACATGACATGACATGACATGAGACATGAGACATGAGACATGACATGACATGACATGACATGACCAGGTAGCTGGATAGGCTGTCATTGCTGGGGTATTCCTATTGTTAATCATGACGTTTAGCAGGTAAATCTGGAAGTCAACTCCCCAAAGGTTCCTTGTAAACAATCACTGTCTACACCCAACTACAAATTGATTGATGTAGTCACACTGACAGAACAGGACTTTTTTACAAGGCTGTTGTTTTTTCCTGCAGCAACAGGAAGTGATTTCCCACAGGAATAATAAATTCATATCCTGCGACAGATTGATTAATATGACACTGGTGATGGAACAGGAATCGCTACGATGTTATGTGATGACTTTATTTCTGTAATCATTCTTATTGCAACAGTATTAACGCCAATGCTATGGATCGTCAGCAGCTGAATTCCCCATCCAATTTACATTCGTCCAGCAAAAAAAATGTCATCAGTTAATAGAAACACTGTATCACATACAGCTAGGCTTGTGACACAATGTGACTCATCGATGTGTCGTGACGAGTCTCGGATAACCAGCTTGCTTGTTTGTTGTATAAGGCCGACTCAGCAATATTCCATCTGTAGGATTGTGG